GAGGGGGGAGCAAACAAACTCAAACCTAATCAAGCAATATGATCAATGTTCCAGATATGACTTTCAATTTACAAGAAACAGGATAGAGGAACTCCAGCAATTGGGAAAATTCAGAATGTGCATATGATAAATGACCTCATTTAAAAAAATATGGCAATGAAGAAAACAGAACAGGGCCGGGGATTTAGCTCAGTGGTTTCACCGCCTGCTTCGCAAGTGCAATGACCTGAATTTGATCCTCAGTACCAAAAAACAAACAAAAGAACAAAACAAATAGGAAAGGGAAGCTTATAGAACTGCTGGCCACAATGAGCTAGTCTCCTGCCACATGTGGTCAGTCCAGGCTCAGATATACTTTCAATGAAAAAATGCACCAGGACCTGAGTTCGATCCCTGGTACCAAAAAAAAGAATCAAAAAATGCACCAAACTTTAAAGACTCAGTATGAAAAAAATATAAAAATCTTGTATGTATTAATACAAAAATACTACTTTGGATTTGTTGGGTTAAATAAATTTACTTGTCTTCATTATACTTTTAAAATGTGGCTACTAGAAGATTTTATATGACAAACATGGTTCACATTCCATTTCTTTTTGGTTTTTGGCGGGCGGGGGGGGGGGTTACTGGGGATTGAACTCAGGACCTTGTACTTTCCAACCAGGCAGCGGAACCACTGAGCTAAATCCTCAGCCCCTCACATTCCATTTCTTTTGGAGAGCAAGGCTCTACATCAGTCATGGCAAACCTATGGCATGAGCATTATTGTGTTTGGTTGGTTTTTTTTAAAGACAAAAGACATTAAGGTTGAGTTGTTTTTTCTAAATGAAAACCTCAGTATTCAGGGTTAATTGCAGTGTTGGCACTTTGCCATAAGTAAGTTTTTTAAATTTTTGGTACTGGGGATTGAACTCAGGACCTTGCGCTTGTGAAGCAGGCGGCAGCACCACTGAGCTAAATCCCTGGCCCTGCCATAAGTAAGTTTTGGATTGCAGTTTAGCACTCTGTCTCTAAAAGGTTCACCATCACTGCTCTAGATTAAAATTGCAAGGTGGGAATGCTGATACTGGCCTGTAACCCCAGCACTCTGGGCAGCTGAGCTACAGAAGATCAAAAGTTGGAGACCATCTGGGCAAACCTGCTGACTTAGTGAGACCTTGCCTTAAAATTTAAAAATAAAATTTAAAGGGCCAGGGATTTAGCTCAGTGGTTTTGCCGCCTGCTGTGCAAGCACAAGGACCCAAGTTCAATCCCCAGTACCAAAAATTTTTTAAAAATTTTAAATAAATAAATAAAATAAAATTTTAAAAGGGCTGAGGGATATAGGTAGTACAAAGGCCCTGGTTTCAATGCCCAGTATTATAAAGAAAGGAAAAAAAAAAAGACAATTGCAGTAGATAAACCTTTTTTAAGATTCTGATTTCAACAAACCAATTCTATATTATAGAGTTATAGGCTATAGTGGATCAGGTGTGGTGACACACACCTATAATCCCACCACTCAGGAGGATGAGAGTTCGAGGCCAGCCTGGGCTACATATTGAGTTCAAGGCCTGCTTGAACTACATTGCGAGACCCTGTTTCAAAAAAACCACCATTAATCTTTTTTGGGGGGGTACCAGGGATTGAACTCATGACCTTGGGCTTATGAGGCAGGCGCAGCACCACTGAGCTAAATCTCAGGTCCAACACTGTTAATCTTTTAGGCATAAAGTTTATGGATATGTTAAAAAGTCCTTATGTTTTACAGATATATACCAAAAGAAGCATTTGTACATGAAACAATATATGGACTGTGCTTATAAAATAAGACCTTTTCACTTCTTTAGGCAGCATTTTAAATAGCCTTGAAAGCAGGCTACCTGTAGACATTAGAATACATAGAAGACATAGCAGAATAGACATCGCTGGGAAGGACAATGTCCAGCATGTAAATTCAACCTAGTTCCCCAGTGCCTCATTTATTTGGATTTAGGAGACTAGTAAGAGCTCAAAGATACTCACTTTCCCATTAATTTCAAATATTTACCCAAAACAATACAATTACTCATCCAATTTTAACACATTCACAACGAAGCTGTAATTTGTATGTCTCACTGCCAGACAGCTCTGAACCATCCCAGTGGTACATGCATGACTATCCCATCAGGTGGCATGGGACAGTCACACATGTCACTGGTGGTACATGCCATCTGATGGACATTCATGCACATCAAGCTGGCGGGAAGGTGTTACAGAGTATTTTTGTGCCCATGTCTCTGATAAGTACTACGGAGCTACTTTCCTGGACAGTCCTAGCCAATTAAAACAGAGATAAACTGCATCTCTCTTGTTGTTTATACATCAACCCTAAAGGATCATACAAACACTATGTGAAAAAAGATACCTCACCTCAGCATGGACAGAGTTGATGTGATACTTGACACCACTCTCTGACACAAATTCTTTTTGGCATAGAAGACACTTGTATTTTCCAGCCACAAAGGTTCCCTATTTCCGAGAGAGAGAAGTGAGAATTACTGGTAAATTACTGGTAAATCCATAGGGATGCAGAACTCAAATGTCATTCCAAATTTCTTTCACTGGTGTGACTTCTTGCTATGTTGGCCTTTTCTACATTTTGGATGAATCCTGACAGCCCACTCAATGAGTACAAGAATTTTCGTGACAGAGGACTAAAGCAGCCTCTGACAATAACAGTGTACAGGATGAGTGAGTAACTGTTCAGCCAAACTGAGTTCTTTTCCATGTCAAACTTTTAGAGGGCATAATAAGATACCAATTTTAAAAAGTTACAAACTGGGCAAAACCTGAAAAGAAAACAGCACCAAGCTGAGCCGCGGTGACAGAGGGAACAAGATGGCGGCACCAAAGGGGAACCTCTGGGTCCAGGCCCAACTTGGGCTCCCGCTGCTGCTACTTTTGACCATGGCCCTGGCGGGAGGCTCGGGGACCGCCTCGGCCGAAGCATTTGACTCGGTCTTGGGCGATACGGCGTCCTGCCACCAGGCCTGTCAGCTGACCTACCCCTTGCACACCTACCCCAAGTTCATGAGGACCTCAAAATCATCTGGCCTTAACAGAATACAGAGGGTCATCAAGAAGATCATACACCCTGACCAAGTCAGATTTATCCCAGGGATGCAAAGATGGGTTCAACATACGTAAAATCATCTGGCCTCCTCAATGTCTTGGACTTAAAAATTATTGAGACTCTAATAATTTGTTAGCCAGTATGATGGAGAAGTTATCATACTGTAATCTCTAATTCTCACAACAATACTGCACAGTTGGGTTTAACAGTTAAGAAAATTTAAAAAATCAGATCCCCCAAATTCAAAGACCCAATTCAAAAATGGGCATCCAAAATGAACAGACATTTCTCAAAGAAGTAAAAACAGCAAATAAATATATGAAAAAATGTTGAACATCACTGGTCATTCGAGAGATGCAGATGAAAACAACACTGAGATTCCACCTCACCCCACAAAGAATGGCTGCTATCAAGAAATCAACCAATAACAAATGCTGGCAGGGGTGTGGAGAGAAAGGAACCCTTCTCCATTGTTGGTGGGAGTGCAGACTGGTGCAACCACTGTGGAAATCCGTATGGAGATAACTCAAAGAACTAGGACTAGAGGTCCCATTTGACCCAGCTATTCCCCTACTGGGTATCTTCCCCAAAGAATTAAAAGAATCGTACCACAGCGATATATGTGTACCTATGTTTATAGTGGCACAGTTTGTAACAGCTAAAGTTTGGAAACAGCTCAAGTGCCCATCAACTGGAAACTGGATAAAGAAGATGGGTTTTTTTTTATAAAATGGAGTACTATGCAGCCATAAAGAATGAGAAACTAGTCATTTATAGCTAAATGGATGCATATTGAAGCCATACTCTTAAGTGAAATAAATAGGACACACGTGTAAATATCGAATAGTTTCTCTAGTATGAGAAACTGAAAGTATAAATAAGGATGAAAATGATTAAAATGAATAATTGATAATTTGAAATAGGAAAAGGTCCAAAGGTGTAGGGGTGGTGGGAGGGGAAGGGGAAAGGGAAGACGGGAAAGGAAAAATTATGAGAAAGAAAAAAAAAATGGAAACAAAGTCTATGTAAATAAGGAAGGGTGGAGGGGTGAAGGGCGCATAGGTAATGGGGGAAAAAATAAGAACTAAGATACATCATGTTCAGGTACAAGCACCCAATGATAAATGTAAATGTATACCTAAAATGTACCAATTAATATATATAAAAAAAAAACAGTTAGGAAAATTAAAGTTTGGGTGTTTTGGCTGGAGATTTAGCTCAGTGGCACCATGCCTGCCTCAAAAGTGCAAGGTCCTGAGTTCAATCCCTGGTACCAAAAACAAAACAAAACAAAAAATAAAAATTGAAGTTTGGAAAGGGTGACTTGCCCAAGGTTACATAAACAAATAGTGGAATAGGAGTTTGGTCTTCAAACTGGCTACACTAAGCTGCCATCCATCTATTAATTAAGTTGGATTACAAATATTTAATTTATTTCACAGACTATGTTGGTGCTCTGCTGAATTATTGTCCCTTGCAATTCAGGAAACAATGTTATACCAGGGGAAGGGGGAAAAAATCAGAACCAAGAGAGTATGTAAAGGTGCATATCTCCAATGATGAATGTCATTATATTGTACACCTAAAATGTACCAGTAAAAGGATATACCAAAAAAAACCACAATGTGTTATAATGTGTTATAAAAGCACATAACAGGGCCGGGGATTTAGCTCAGTGGTTTTGCCACGTGCTGCACAAGCACAAGATCCTGAGTTTGATCACTGGTACAAAAAAAAAAGTTAGATGAATTTCACATAGTCTATCTTGGTGGGATACTTGAAACTGGAAGATAGAAATCTCATTTTAATGACTCTTTCAGAAATAATCATTTGTTGCAAGAAAGTAGAATACCTGTTTGTAAGTAGTTATTTTTAAATTATTCTAATTTTTCCTTTGTCCTCAAAAGCACAATTGCATAATTTTTCTGGTTTCAAGTCCTATTAATAACAAAACTAATTAACAGGGCATGGACTTTGGAGCCATACAAGCCTAGATTCCATTCTCAACTTCATTGTTGCTGTGTGTCCTGGCTGCTGATCACTTAAAGTCTCAAACTCCTAAATTCATTTTGTCTTCTGTAAAAAAGACTTAACCCTCCCCTGCAGAGCTAGTGTGAGGATTAAAGAAGATGTATGTAATACTCTTAGACAGGACCTAACACAGCTGCAGATGCTTCATGTTCCAAAATCAATTTGGTGTATATAGTATTAGTAGTTCTAAATAAGAAGAGAATAATTAGGTTGACTTAGCTCAGGATAGGAAAATGTAACAAGGTGGGCACAGTAGTGCAAGCCTGTAAACCCAGCTACTCAGAAGGCTGAGGCAGGCAAATCGAGAGTTCCAGGCCAGCCTGGGCAACCTAGTAAGAGCCTGTCACCAAAAAAATGAATGAAAGAGAGAGACTATGTATAAAAGCTACTGATAATATCATTGAAGGACCTTCTAATTACTTAACTAATACTCAGTATGATGGGAAGCAGCCATTTCCTGTGTCCTGTATCAGAGGAGATATACTTCATGTGAGCTTGCCAGTTATTTAAGATAGAGTATAAAATATTTATTATAATGGAATAATAATATGTATGAAACATGAAATACTGATTCTCTTTTTTTTTTGAAATACTGATCCTTAATAGCTACCAATTGAGTGCCTACTCTGCTGGGTGTTGTATAATATGTTAAGTGTTAACATGGTGCCTGGCACATTGTGGATGTTCATTAATGATTGTTATGTTTATTAGTACAATGTAACAATGCTATTAGGGATATAAATGTATAATCCTAATATTTAATACTGATGTAAAAGTATTGTCCTTATTTTGCAACTGAGGCTTACAGAGATTAAGTAACTTATGCGAGGTTGTGCAGAGAAAGAGAACTTCTAGCCAGGCTGATTTCTATACCTAGGCTCTTTGTACCATCTTATATGGTCTCCTGAAATTGGTACTGGATGGCTTTTTGGGGTAGCTTAACAAAGAACAAAGGAAAATATATTTGAAAATGTAATATCATGTGGCTCCCTTATATACACTGGTTTGTTTCAAATAGTGTATGTATTTTGCCAAAGAAGAAAACTGTTGAAGGCCTTGTGGTTGGTATTATTAAACAATTAATATCTTCCTGTATTGGAAAAAAGAAAAAGTTACAAACCAATGTACAAGAGCCAAGGTGAGCTTTAAGGCCAGACACACTACTGTAGACAGCCTCACAACCCTGAAAAAGAGAAGAAAAGAGGTAAGCATGATACCACATAGAATCCTCTTCTTAGTATTAGACGTCAGAATACATAGAGAACAAATAGCAGGATAGAGATCACTGTGGAACAAGAATGTCAAATGTATAAATTCAACCTAGTTCCCCACTGTCTGATTCATTTGGAACTTTCTCTGACACTTAACAGATATATATATATATATATATATATATATCACTTTCTCTAACACTTAACAGAAATACAGAAAACTGTATGATTAGTTTTTAAACCTTTAAGTGCAAGTGTGTCTCCTACTTTTTTTATATTTTCCTCCCCAAACTGCACATACAGCTCTTACAGCAATTTTTCAGAGGATGGCAAATGTATGCTACTCCTGCCATCAAGAGTGGGGTCTATTTAACCTCCCTTTGAGTCTGGATTGGCCCTTAGATGCTGCTGATGCGAGAATGCCATAGAAGTGATGTTGCAAAATTCTGAAGAGAGGCCTGAAGAAATCTTCAGCTTCAGCTGCACCAAATGGCACACACCGGTGATTCCCAACTACCTTGGAGCTGAGGCAGGAAGATCACAATTTCAAGGCTGGCCTGGGCAACAAAGTAAAACCACGTCTCAAATGAAATAAAAAGGGCTGGACACATAGCTCAGTGGTAGAGCACTTGCCTAGTATGTGCAAGGTCCTGGATTCAATCCCCAGCACCACACACAAACACACACACACACAAACAGATCTGCAACTTCTGCTTTCTCAGAATCTACTCCAAGAAGTCAGTTACTGTGTCAGTGGTTGGTAATCCAACTGCCCCGTGACAGACAAAGGCCATACAGGCAGACGGTGCACAAAAGCCATCTTGCGGGCTGGGGATTTAGCTCAGTGGCACCGTGTCTGCCTTGCAAGTGCAAGGTCCTGAGTTCAATCCCCGGCAACAGGAAAAAAAAAGCCATCTTGAACATTAAATTCCATCTAGCTAGAGCTCAACATCCTCCCAAGAGTGATCCCTGCTGAGGCCACACATAGTAGGACTGCTCTCTTGTTGACCTACCCCTGACAGAATTACTAAAATAAAATAACTAACTATTCCTTGAAGCAACTATAATGCAAGTGCTTCATCATGAAGGAATAACTGAAAACAAGAGCAGACCCTTGTGAAACATTTACTGAATAAAAGAAAGACAAAGAATCACCTGGTTAGGACACTGAATGCGATGATACTTCTTGATATCTGTCTTCCACTTGTGTAGTACTTCCTGGCTGAAAGTAGGTAGCCCAGGACGAGTATATTTTAACTAGAAGACAAGAAGCATTGTATTGCAGGGATGCAACTCCCAGCAAAAATAACTAAAGGCTTCACACACACCTCTTCGGGTTATGTACTTCAGGAGTCCACAGGTATATATCCTACACAAACATAGTAAGACGTAAGATCCTCTAAAGTTCTTTTTTTTTTTTTTTTTTGGTACCGGGGATCGAACTCAGGTCCTTGCTCTTGCGAGGCAGGCGACAGAACCACTGGGCTAAATCCCCGGCCCTAAAGTTCTTGATATTGGTAAATATAAGTCTATTTTTTAATACTGGAAAAGTCTGATTTTTAATAGAGGACAGGAGACTTGAGCATTTTTTTTCTGTAGATAAAACAGGAAGAAAAACACACAGTATGAATTAAAAATAAAGTATTTGTTATAAAAGTTGAAAACAACCAGTTCTGGTGGCACATACTTGTAATCCCAGCACTCCAGCGACTAGGGCAAGAAGACAGTGAGTTTGAGGCCAACCTGAACTACACAGTGAATTCAAGGCCAGCCTGGATTACTTATAAGACCCTGTTTCCAAAAAAAAAAAAGCAAGAAATATAAATATGTATCACTCATTCAGTAGAAATACATGGAGATAGCAAAGAAGGACCTAAATCAAAATATTAATAGTGGTATTCCCTAGATGGCAGAATTTTCAATGATTTTAATATTTTCCTCTGCTTATCAGCATGTCTGTTTTCTTCAATGAAAACATGCTAAGTTTTGAATATTTGTTAAATTCAAAAACAACAAAAAGTTAAAGTCCAATCTAAAACAAAGATGTGAGAAAAATTAGGACAGAACACATAATCTTTGCTTATACTACAAAAGTAACATCACCACTAGCACCCCCACACACACACTTAGACATGAGTGACATGTGCAGTGTGGCTGGAGACTCACAGCGGACCCTGCACCTGCATGGTTCTGGTGAGAAACAGTCCTCCTGCCTCAACAAAGGTCGAGTGTGACAGGAGGTGGCTCTCTGTAGCAGAAAAGCAAACCAAAGCTCGAAGAGGCAATGGGGGAAGGCAAGTGGCTGAAGGAGCCTCTGGTGAAGCTAAACCAGAACACACAGCTGGCGATACTTGTGAGCATTTAGTCTAACAGCCAAATCTGGTGTTACTGAACAGCAAAATAAATAATACTAGCATTGGATTACAACTCATAGAATAAACTAAGAAACTAAGTATCTAGGTGTCTAGACACCCTGGCGCCCCAATATCCTCAGTTTCTGCATTTTCTGATTCAACCAACTAACTTCAAATCAAAACTATTTTTTTTGTTTTGTTTTGTTTTTGGTACCGGGGATCGAACTCGAGTTCTTGCGCTTGTGCAGCAGGCGGCGGAACCACTGAGCTAAATCCCCGGCCCATCAAAACTATTTTTTAAATAAAAACGTTCCACCTATACCGAGCATATATAGATGTATTTCTTGTAATTATCCCTCAAACAGTTAGCATTTACATTGTATTGGGTATTATAAATAATCCAGAGATGCTCGAAAGTGCATGGGAGGATGGGCGTAGGTTTTATGCAAATACCACACCATTTCCTAGCAGGGGCCTGAGCACCTATAGGTTTTGGTATACTATTCCCTCATTGATAACAGGGGAAGACTATACTAACATAAATAAATAGAGCAAAAGGACAGATTTTTCTCACACTAGAACTGCAATTAATACTTATAGAACAAATGATGGAAACAAATCTTCATTAGGCCAACATTACAATAATACCTTAAAGAATCACATCATCAGTGTACGCTAATATAGGTGGGCAGAAGTAAGACAATCTCAATCTCCCCACAAAATACTCACTAATTTTACCATGGAGATACTTGGAAACATACGCTGGCCAACAGATCAGCAATCATCATTTGTAAAAGACACATCCGGATCATATAACTTCTGACATGATGCAGACAGGCACCAGCACTGCCTGGGTGGGTGATATTCCTGCCCAAACCAAGTAACCCTCACCCTGACCCTGAGGAAGCACAACAGAAAACCATACTGGAGAACATTCTACAAAACAGCCAGCTAGTCCTCTGCCAAAGCATCACCCACAAAGCGACAAAGCCAGGGCCACGCTAACAAACTGAAGGAGAAGGAGACAGAGTAAGAGGTCCCCGTGGGTCCTGTGGCACAGTTACCCAGGGTGTCGGCATCGGGGGAGATGGGTGGAGACTGCCTGGGAAATCTACACTAGCTCTACAACTGCTAAGTCCAACATACTTCACATGGAAAGTTCTCTGAGCAATATATGGCTCATCTGCCCATCAAGAAGCCCTGGGAAGATGCATGAGAAGCTGCTGAGAGTGGAGAAGCTTGGGGACGGGACAGAACAGGGACAGGCCCAGTGGGGTCTCGATGTTGATCATCATTTTCATTGTGAACCACAAAAGAAGTTCTGCTGCTAGCAAAACCAATGGAAACCGATAGGAAACCAATGGTTTACCTATTGAACCGTATCTGCGGAAACACGCTGGATGATGAGCAAGTAAACATCTTACCTAGGAATTTCAGGTTCCTTCTGGAAGCAACTCAGAATTCAGAGACACTTAAGGAACTTCCAAAATGGACTGTTCAGCTAGGACCTACCTGAATCCAAACATGCAAGCTGGATCACATGTGCTCTGTCTCCACAGGTAAAGCAGCAAAATATTCTTAACATGCACTTATCTAAGTGTCTTTCCTTTTCTCTACATCAGACACAGTATGACACACAATGGTTCTTGGGCCGGGGATTTAGCCCAGTGGTTCCGACACCTGCCTCACAAGCGCAAGGTCCCGAGTTCGATCCCCAGTACCAAAAAAAAAAAAGACACAACAGTTCTAAAAGTAGTAGTAGAACTTCTACCCTACCTTCCGGTCATCAGGGACCAGATCCTGGAGCACCTTCCTCTTAGGCCATTCCTTGGCCAGTTCGGCAGACGCCAGCTCCTGCAGGTGGTACACAGCGATCTTGGCAGAACGTCTCTGAACTCGGCCCCCACTCTTTGCTTCTAGACCCATCTCCTTTAAGCACTCTGGCTGTCCTGACTCTGGAAAGAAGGAGATCTGCAAGAATGAGACACAGCAGAACACAGGCCTGAGAAGCAGCGTCTGTCACTTGAGGTAAAGGCCGACCTTCCTGCTCTAAGTATCAAAAGGGCTGTCTACTAATTGCTAACCATGGACATCAAGCTATACCATATTAACACATATTTTATTCGTATTAAAAAAGCTGTTTAGGCCAGGGATTTAGCTCAGTGGTTCCGCCACCTGCCTTGCAAGTGCGAGGTCTCCCCGGTACCAAAAGAAAAAAAAAAAGGAAGCTGTTTAGGCTGGGTATTTAGCTCAGTGGTTCCCCAGTACCAAAAAGAAATGCTGTTTAGCAGGACAAAATCTGTTCTTTCCTAATAAATAAAAGGCGTAAAAAGTCAAGAAACATTCATATACAAAGAATACAAAGATTTCAGGCACAAGCCTGAAATCCCAGCACTTAGGGAGGCTGAAGCAGGAAAATCACAAGTCCCGGGCCGGGGATTTGGCTCAGAGGTTCCAGCGCCTGTCTTGAAAGTGCAAGGTCCTGAGTTCAATCCCCGGTAACAAAAAAACAAAACAAAACAGAACAAGTCCAAATGCTGCTTGGGCAACACAGCAAGACCCTGCCTGACAATATAAATAAATAAAACAGGCAGATGATGTAGCTCAGTGGTAAAACACCCCTGGATTTGACCTCTAGGACCAAAAAAAGGGGAAACGAACCTCAACCCATACCTTATAACACATACAAAAAAATAATTCACAATAGACCAAACCACTAAGCATAAAATATAAAATGATAAAACAATAAAAGAAACTCATGGAAGGGCCAGGGATGTAGCCCATTGACTACATCAGTGAAAGGTCCCAAGTTGGAACCCCAGTACCGGGAAAAGAGAGAAAAAAAAAACGAAACTGAGGAAGAAAATTTTTGTGACTCTGAAGTGTCACCTTGGCTAGATTATGTATTCACAGGCAGCTAGACAACCACAAAACTTCTAGCTACATGGGGGAATGTTTTCAGTTTTGAAAAAAAGATAAGCAGTTTACTTCTCTCTAGACTATACTTAAAACTTTCATTTATCCAACCTAATAATGTTCAAAAGGCAGAACTAAGAATAAAGAATGAATGATGAGGAGAGAACAGCAACATTGACAGAGCAAAAGGAGACACAAAGGAGGAACCAAGAACAAGGCACTCACCACAGCGGACATCACCAACAGGATACAGAGAAAATCGGTACTCACAGGTGCATGCTCTGACCTCAGGTGATACGCAAGACCAGCCTTCGACCTATATGGTTTTCCACAATGGTGACATTTCAAGGTCATCTTCTCCAGCTCTGCAGCCCCCTTGCCACATTTTCTAACATGATACATATATCCCATGATGCTGGTGAAGGTACTGGAACAACTCTGAACAGAGGAGACAGCCCCCCATCAGAATCTTACATCCTCTGACATGAAGCATTCACCACCACAACACACGCAAAGACACTGTGATCTGACAAGCCCCTCTCTGCCATTTCCCCTTAGTACCACCCTTCCTTCTCCCTGGCCGGGTGTCCAGGTGCCATCAGATGTGGTTGGTATGGTGAGCATTTGCTGAGCTGTACCCAAGAATGAACTCTGTCTGAGCTTCCTCCTTGGTCTGTGATCCAACCACACCCCCAAATCAAATAGCTAGTAACATCAAACCCCATCACAGTGACAGGGATCCTATTCATCATGTTTACAGAGGGGACAGGAAAGAAACGCTCTGAACACAGAAGAATGAGGGAAGAAGGTACACTGTTGGAGATGAGACAGAAAAGAAAGAACTATCAATGAGTTCAAGAGTCCTGGAAGAGCAGGGGCCAGGCTGCCTTATGGTAGCACAGTACCAGGGAGTCCACAAAGGGACAGGAAGAGAACTGGAATAGAACAGCAGAAGACACTGACTTGAGCTCCAGGAAGGAAGAGTTGCTATCCCTGGACTCTTACCTCTCGCATGCACCTGAGTTTTCCCAGTCTCTTTAGAACTGTTCGGAGCCGTTCCCTCTCACTTGGCTCATCAATTTCCTCTCCAGCTTTCAAAATGGGCTAAAAATCAAGAGAAGCATCTGACTGGATGATTAATGGAACAGACACACAGAGAAAAAGAAAAATCATACAGACTTAAGAATTGGACTAACAGCTAAGCTGTACCATAAAGTCCACGTTTTGGCTTTTTCTCTCCTCTGGACAGGTAAAGCAGGTAAAAAGAATGGAAGTAACAGCTCAACCCTCTATCTCCTGTGATAGCCCAAATATGATGGACCATACAAAGGTGCCTATTTCTTGCTACTCACACCCCTATGAGGTCCCAGAGCCTCAGCCAACTACAGAGATATCGTCACACACCTTAGGAAAAGATACCCAAGGATCACAGAGGACAGAAGACAAGCTTACCAAACTATTATGATTCGCCATGACGTGATACTTCATCCCTGCCAAGGAACGAAGTTGTTTCCCACAGTGATGGCAAGTAAACATTTCCTAAAAGGAAAAAGAAGGTATTCAGTGGCAGGCCATTCAACAGAGAAGTCGAATGCTAGCAACTGCTACATAATGGGCTAGGGACGTAGCATGTGTTACTTCTTTCTTATCCTCTCATTGACTAACCAAGGTATTTATTATTTTTTCTCCATTTTACCAATGAGGAAACCAAAGTCCACAAGTGAAAAGTGCCACAACTAGCACGTAGCAGGCTGAGGATTCAAACAAAAGTATATCAGATACAAAGACTATGTTCTCTCTACCACACAACACTGCCACTCATCGGCTCTTATCAGCATAATGAACACAAAATGAGGTCTAAAGTTTAGATTAAAAAACCCTAACAGTTATAAAATGCCAAATAAGTAACCTGTTTGCAGTTTTCCATGTGTTTCTTCAAACCCTCTATGGTCTTTCTCCCCACTGCCTGGCAGGTAGGACAGGAAACACTGCCTTTGTCTACAATTTCTAAGTACCACTGTTCCTCCAAACTACCTAAAAGGAGAGAAAGGGACACGTTGTGATCTGCAGTATTGTCCAGAAACAAAAAGCATCATACCACCATTTAGAAAAAGTACCATAATAGGGGTTTTCCCTTCCCTGGTAGACATGGTATAGCTGCTAGAAGTCATTTTTTCAGTAAGACGTCGAGTTTCTAAAACTCCTGTGCATTTCCCCATGTTCAGAACCATCTGAGAACCACTCCAAAGCCCATGCTTAAAGCCTGGGCTACACTTCTCACAGCAGGATTGAACAGTGAGACACAGAGATAGGCAGAGACCATGCTCAGTGTTTTCAAGTCCTCCCCTACTGTCAACAATGCTATCTTTATCATTATCATCTACAGACAGGAAAACTGAGGCTTACAGAAGTGAAGTAAATTAAGGCATTTCAGAAAGTCTGGAGAGCCAGGCCATGAAGAAGAAGCTATGTGATCTCCAAAGCCAGGCCTCTAAGAACTGCCTCTGTAAAGAAATGCTTCAGTGTATCCCTCCTCATGGATATGCCAACAAAGCAGACTAAGAGCTACACCCCAGGAAGCCTCCCACAGAGAGCCTACCTGCTGCATAAACTGGCGGTTCCTTCCGTATGCGACGAGCCTGGGGTTTGGGATTAGGCTGAGTTTTAGGCCGCTGTTTCCTCCCTGACAAGACAGAAACTTGAAGGCTGACATGTCCCCTGGACTAACCCCCCTCCAGCACCAACATCTCTTCTATCCTCTTCTCCTAGATACCCTAGGTGCCAGACCCTCAACCAATAATGACTCCCTTAACTCATGCCTGAATGAAAAGGAACAGTTGAGGCAGGATGGAGGCTTTTCCCTCCCTCTAAATTCAAAGGGCTCAAAAGCCCATCAAGGGCCCAAGCCAGAATCTGTCCCTTTAATCCTAAAGAATAAAGCCCAGTCACCAGAGGAAAAAGGAATAGAGAAGTTCCTCCCTTACCATACAGTTTATGCTTCTTCTGAGGAAATTCTCCATAGTCTTCATCGTCTTCCTGCCTGGGTTTCCTTTTTCCTTTGGCTGTTACTCCACCTGACCCTGGCACATGGCGCAAAAACAAAGCACCAACTCAGGATAGTGCGTAAAAGAATGTCTGGTCCTGCCTCCAAAACATCATCCACAGGACTGTGAAGGGAAAGCTCCGCAGTGATGCAGGCCACACAGAAGTGTTGTGACATTTTTAGCAAGGTCTGTAACTTCTCATTAACTGACCAAACCTCTCCTCTTGCCCTTAAATTGTTCTCTTTCAGGAATCATCAATTCTTCTTGAATAGGGGCATTCAGGAAATATATTTTGTGTGATCTTAACTGAGGCTATCACTGAAGAACTGCTCAAGATACAGGGCTACCAGGATTCTCCAGAATGTGATCCTCCAGAATATATGATCCTGATATCACTCTTTCCCTACCCATTGTATTCTCAAAAAAGGAGCAACCTAGAAGCATATTGAAAGGAAACTCAAATTCCCCAAAAGAGAAGGGTTATTCTAAGTCTATCCAAGAAGAGTAGAATTGGCAGAATGGCCCTTAATGTATTCAGAGTCACTTATAGCAGGTACCAAATACGACTTCAGAGTATGCTCTGTCTTGCGAAGAAGATGCTGGTATTTATACCTTCAACATGAGGAGAAGCAGCTTGCTTGATCCTCCTCATCTTCCTCCAGTACGTAGATTTTCGGAAGGATGCTGGAAAATCATTCACTTGTTCGCACGAAGAAGCAGATGAGCCACTCAAGGAGTCATCATGAGGGATGGTGTACTGGAAACTGTTATCCTTTATGGGGGAGCACTGGGTCCTGCTACTAACACAACACAAAGATATACACCACAGAGAAGAGTTTGGTGCAAAGTTCCTACTAATTCTTCTATATCATAAGATGATACCAGTTACCTGTGCACAAAACTCTGGAGCCTGATCCCCCACACCCCTTTTTGGTACTGGGGAGTGAACCAAGGCCTTTGTACTAAGCTACATCCCTAGCCTCTAACCTGTTTCTATTTTTTTTTTTTGGTACCGGGGTTGAACTTGGGTCCTTGCGATTGTGAGGCAGGCAGCGGAACCAGAGCTAAATCCCAGGCCCTCTAATTTTTTTTTTGAGACAAGGTCTTTCTAAATCTCCAATGCCCAGACTAGGCTCAAACTTGTGATCCTCCTGCTTCACCCTCCCAGAGTAATGGGATTATAGGCATGTGCCACCACATCCCACAAGAAGACTGATTTTGGTTTTTTGACAACAGGGTCTTGCTATATATATACAGCCCAAGCTGGCCTCAAACTCACTGGGACCCTCCTGCCTCTCCTCTCGTGTGCTGGAATCACAGGCGTGTACCATCACACCCAGCAAGAAGACTGATTTTAAGGGGCTGGGGATTTAGCTCAGTGGTTCCACCACCTGCCTCACAAGCACAAGGTCCAGAGTTCAATCCCCGGTACCAAAAAAAAAAAAA